GCGCGCGCGACGCCGAACCATCGACCAACCTAGTCACGCGAACGCCCGTTTCAAAAATGCCCAGCTCTCAGCGCCGTACGCGCGAGCCTCCGCGGTATTTCCCTCCCCCTTAGCTCCGTTTCCCTTTCGACTACCCGAAACTCGTTCGAAGAATTTTCGCGGCTGGCTAGTTCTCATACCTAAGCGCTTCCTCGAGTTTACTTCTATTTGTCTCGTCCGAGATCCGAATGGGCGAATAAGATTCCTTCCGCGTGGCGATCGATTTGCAGACGCGTATGAATAGTTGTTTTAAATTTATGAACATTCAAGGCTCAAGTAATGAGATGTTTTTTTGTTAAAGAAAAGGCGTGAAAAAATATAAATATCTTCTGAAGATCAATTTTTGATCGAAACTTTTTCCAATTAAAATATTTTTCAATCTAAATATCACATCTAATTTGTGAATTTTTAGAATGACATTCAGCAGTTTAATCGGCAAATTCGGAAACGCAGTAAGTTTGGAAAGAATTCAAGAGACAAAAAGTCCTCTCTCTCTCTCGCTCTCTCATTCACGCCCTGAGAAACAAAATTCTTGATCTACTTGAGAAAATACCAACGCTGAAAGCATTTAGTTGTTATATGCGAAATGGAAATATTTGCGAAGAGAAAAATGTTTCATTGGGCATCGCGAAAGCTCGCGGAAAATTGTTGGCACACTCTAAGTACGCGAGTTGTGTGGACTCATGCTGCGTTATTAACATAATCTAGTTAACTACAACGACATAATAAAAAAGTACTGGTAATGTTGAGTGAGGGTCTGCCTTTCCATAAATGCACTTGTTACTGCACTTATGCAGCTTATTATTTGAAATGTGTCAGTCGCGTAAATGTAATCAGTTATATTGCTTACCGCAATTTACACAAGGACGATCGCGCTAAATACCGTAACGCAGTAACGCAGTGCTGATGAAAACGCATTTCTTAATACAATGGCGTTTTCTATTCGGAAAAGTGCAGGGCTGGGGTCGCGTGTTGTCAAAGATATTTTGACATGTGTGATTTAATCACATGGATTGGAAGAAGCTTTGACCGGCTTTCTCTTTTTGTTTCGATTAATTAGGTGCGACCACTTCCCATCAATGTCCGCGGTGATTTGTGTCGCAGATCCGTCTATGTGCATGTATCGAATTGCGTCTGCATTTGCAAATTGTATACATACCGTCGCGCCTGTATGGATGATAACTATGTGGCGCGCAACTCGCAGGCAGGATATTAGTTAACATATTAGTGAAATGCACATTACATGCAATATATATATTACATATTACATGCATATTATTTGAACATATATAGGCTTGTCCTAGATTTACAATTCCTACCGCCGACCAACTCCAGATCAATTTCTGACATATATGTATAATATAATATATACAATCTATTGTTCCATTAATATGAAAAGTACCTGTTTATCTAATTATGCTCTTTAATCATTTTTATACTTCAGAGCAACAGGAAATCTACCTTACAATCATTATTGTCGTTACAAATTGCTGTCATTCGCTTTTCATTCGAAAAGTTATTTCTTTCTTCTATCATACAGATTTTCATCTGTCTGTTTTATTTGTTACATTTTTAAGCATTTTTTTTTTTTACAATATGTTCTCATTAAATTGTTAATTACCAGCCGTTTGATGTATCAACAAAACATTATTATTAACATATAATCTCGATTGTCTCTCGAATGAAGAAAATTATCGTACTCCGGCACGTAAAATATTTTGGACGGTTTTTATTGCATTTGGTTATATAACGTCACACAATAACGCCGCACACGCATTCATCGATTCAATTACGCGCGTATGTTATGGAAGCACCTCCCCTCGATGTTGTCCCTCTCTACACCGGTGATTTGTGTCCCCCGTTCGTCTACGCGCGCGTCTCGGACCGCGTGTGCATTTGCAAATTGTATACACACACTTCCATTGTGTACGCGTATGTGTGTATGTGTGCGTGTGTGCGAGTGTGTGCGGGCGTACACACGATAACCTGGTATTTGTATTTGTGCATATCTATACACACATAGGAGACGCGAAACGTACGCACGTCTGCACGCGTGCGCCGAACGCTTACGTGCCTCCGAGCTAGCTCCGCCGCGGATATAGGGTGGCTAATGGAGAAATTCAGCCCGCAACGGAAACCGTTATATACTCTCGTTTCTCTCCTGTCCCGCCGCTCGTAATCGTGGTCGCCTTCTCTATTTAGAGTCTATTTGATGTGAATCGCGCCACGAACGCGCGCTGTCTCCCGAGGTTCGTCTCCTCTAGCCGACCAGGGCCAATTTGAAACTTTACCGGCAGTATCGGGCGAGAGAACGGATCTTGCCGGGGACGTCGCGTCTAGATCGTACGGGTTTGCCTTACGGATCGCGCTCGTCTCACGCCCGAGTTTCGTATTTCGTACTGCTATCGGTCGCTATAAATCAACCGTCGAGATTCAAACTTACCGGATTCGCACTTGGTGATCATATCGGAGGAATGCAGGCCTCTGTTGATTTTATTCTTCTCTCTTTGTGACATGAATATCCAAATAAAACCGGTAGATTCTCTGGAAACATTACGAAAAATATTTATCATGACAAAAATGTTGTTAAAACAATATTTATTTGCGATAAAAGCAATTTTGAAATATATGGATTTAAAAAATTATCGAAATATTAATTTGCGACATCAAAATATATTCATGATTAAGCTGATTTTGATGGACCGAGTGAAAATCAGCAATTTCTAAATTGCCATGTATAAACAAATATGCGTGCAAAAATATTAAATTCGGTATATTTAAAATCTTCAAAAATATGAATTTAGTGAAAAGCGTTTTTGTGTCGCCGAAAAAGTGACAAAAAAAAGCGAGATCGCGGGTGTATGCACAACGGGTCGATTCTCATATCTTCGCTTTCCCAGAATGTCCATTTTAATCTGTTCAATTCCGTGATTTGTGACTTCTCTAATCCTCCCTTACTCACCAGCGACGTATCTCTCAATATAAATAAACTGCGGATTTTCCTGTCGATTTCGCGAAGTCGTATAACGTCGATCCGAGACTAGAGATACTGTTGACATTACCTTTCCCTAAATTCGATTTGTAAGTCGTCGTGTATTTCATCATTTGGAATAATAATGCAAATAATAAATAAAAGTCCGTCGAAAAATGTGATCGAAGACACGATTAAAAAAATATGACAAAGATAATAAGCATGCATACACAATGAAGAATATATTATGAAACTTCGGAACAAGAATCAACACCGAATATTATCGCGAAGCACCTGTTTTATCGCATTGTGCAAGTTTCTGTGATAAGGAAGTATTCATATAATTTAAGAACTTTATGCAGAGCGTTCCATATCTAGCGAGCTACTATTCATCTAAGGGTTGCTCGAGCAATTTGGAGTCTTCCTGTTGAAAATTTTAGAAGAAAAGTCATTATTTATCGCTAGTTTAAAATTTTTTATATTAAATACCTCCGTAGTCATTTCTTAAATTATAAACAAGAATTTTACGTATTATCGATCATTATCTGCTGATTAATGTCGGTTTGGCGGACAAAATTTCCAAAATACTCCCTCCATCTACGACCATCTATACGCGGCTCGTATTTGTTCGTGCTATTATCTACATAATGTCGTAATAACGACCGTTTCCTCGCACACGGTCGGTACGTATTGTATGCGCGTGTGTATTCGAACGTGGCTGTACACACGCGATGTGAGGGCCGAAGGTAACCACGAACCACCACGAACGGGCTTCTACTGCGGAGAAACGGTATCTAATAGGCGGGCTTGCATCGGTGCATAATGACTGGAACGACTGGAGCGGACTGAATATCAGCAACACTCCGCGCGACACTCCGGGCGTGTACGTTTATAGGACAATCGATGATGTATTAATGTCATAGGCGCGCTTCTGCGAACGAACGGACGGACGGCTCTCGTACGTATTCCGCCCGTTGCGAGCGTTCATCCGTTTGATACAGATAGTCACTCGTATACGTGCCAATTTGTCACGATGCCAATCCACCGCTAAGAAACACGCGACGGATTATTGTCTCATGTCGATGCGAATGATTTACGCTGACTCACCGTGCTGTCTCGTCACGCCGAAAGCTCAAATTAAGCTCTCTTTAGCTGTCGAGAAATATAGAGCCAAATTTCTCAACATTTTTATGCGTTTACACAATTTATTTGTGGTAAGTAACAAAAGTTAAAAGCAGTAAGATAATCAGCAATATGTTCAGATCTTCCGAATCAGATTGCTAGAAAATTATCGCAAGTGGCTTAATAGTCAGTTCGCCGCTTTTCGCGACAAGGAGACAGATACAAATGGAAGCTTCGCAGAGCGCCGCATTTAGGACTAAGATGTTCATGAAGTGCCGCGCGTTTCACGATAAGCCTGCGGACGTACATACAGACACAGATACGAGCCACAAACAAGACCGAGGGACATCGAATCAATAGCAATTCGGAGAGAACAGAGACGATTGGGCATTGTAAATTGGGCGAGAGAAGGGCCGATTAACAGGCTCCTTGGCCTAGATTCGGCAGAAGTTAGAAATTCAGAGACTAGTTTTTTCCGCGATGATATTGCGTACTTTTTTTTTACATTTTTATCACGTCTGAGAGCATATTTTCGCACTTTCGACGGCAACAGCTGTTGGAATACATCTCACATGCGCGACGCTCGGACACTCGGATGGAAGAGCATCCATCATGTATCTACGTATGTAGGTTAGACGTAGGTGGCCAAATCCGGATGCGCCAAATCGCTGTGTGCGTTTGAAGCGGATAAGAGCATCCGGATATCGACGATGCGCGCGGTGAGTTAAGTGCTAGTCCTATCGAACCGAGCCGATAAGGACGGCTAAGACGATCGTATCTTTGCATTTAAAAATGACACTGAAAAGCAATCTCACGTGCGAATTTTATGATAAAGGAACAAAGGAACAATGGCGCAATTTAGCATTCAATACAATCAATAAATCAACCGTTTGAGAAAAGATAAGTAAATAAGAAAATTCGAGAAGGAAAATCTTTCGCAATTTTCTGACACGCTTTTTTATCAAAAATATTATAAATCTCGAGATTTTTCAAATCAGAAATATCTTGATTTTGTGATAATTCAATATTTGAATATCAATTAGACAATCTGAATATTTTTATAACAAAATTAATTTTCTTAAAACAAGATCATGTATGTCCTTTGCGAATTGATCGTCTCCAATTATTCCTCTCGCAAGCGGAAATTGAGAGTAGGCGGAATCCTCCCGGCGTCTTGATTTCTCAGCCTCGAACTTGCCCGTGCATTCCATTCGCACGATGATCATGCGAGGGGCCAATTAGGGACTCACAGCGACTCTTTACAAACGATAAACGCTTGGACGATTTAACTCGCAATAATAAGGGCCGCGCGCACCGGCTCTAATGACCGCTGATTCAGAGCTATTTTGACGCGCCACACGCCCGGCGTAATCGCGCGCGGCTTGCGATTTTCGAATCTGCGCCGAACGTGCGGCGCCGACAAATTAACCCTCTCGCGGCATTCGCGTAACCAGACCCGTCACTCGCACACCGTTCGATGCTCCAGCGGAACGCTCCCCCGCCACCCCATCACGTTTTCCGTCGAGACGAGTCGAGGTAAATGCTGAGTATTTAGGATTCGCGAGCTTCGCCGTGTAAACCGAAGCGAAGCTGGAGTCGTGCAAATATTTGATTCCTAAGTCCCGATGAAACACACACCAACTCCCCCGGCGCCGCCGTTGCCGCCGCGCGCCCCCTCGCGCGTCCGTCTCGCTCACGGCTCGCTCACGACCAGATTATTAACACGATTATTACGCGAGCAAACACGCGAGTGTTGCGAGTGTTGCGTTGCGTTGCATTGTGTTGAATCATGAGACGAGAGGTGAAATGATCCGCGCGTGAGAGTATAATTAATGTCCGGGCTGAAGGATACGCTGGAAACTGCGGAAGGCATGATCCCGCACTACACTGCAATTCGCACAATGGGGAAAAGTGTTCCGCATGACGAACGCTTAATCGCGCTTTTGTGAAAATGATTTTTGCGAATGAACATTTTTGCTAATCCCGATAAACGCAATGCGCTAATTTTATTCGTACATAACGTGCTTCCGCGCCCGGTCGAAAATCATTTCGGGATTTAATCGCGATTTTATGCTCGCACTTCTCGTCGCGGCAGCCGGAAGAAATAAGAAACTCCCTTTCAGCGGATCCCCGGTGAATCCATCATCGCCAAACTTATATGATTAAGCTTGCCGGAGCCCGCAAATTCTCGGTCGCGTTTCACCGTCCCCTTAATCATATCTATTTTACACTATCGTCGGTATCTGTGGGGAAGAATGGATGGCGAAGGGAGGAGACCCTAACCAACCTATCCCTCAAGGAGGCACGGTCTCGGTTCCGCAACGCTGAACGTCAGGAGTGAAAGCGGGACGAGACGACGGCGCTTTCAGTGGATGCGAGAGACCCACCCTCCGAATGCGTTAAACCGAATTAAACAAACACGGCCGCGCCGCCAGTGCGGCGTCCTACGGCGTATAACATATTTCAGAGTCGGCGGCCCGGCGTAGCTCATCCTCTCCCAACCCATGCACACTCCGCTTGATTATTTTCCACCCCTGGACACCCCTGCGTCCGCGGTATATGGACGACGGGCAATCCCGTTCTCTTTGTTATCTAAATGAAAGCGTTGCGTCGTTACGCGAGTGCATACCATTTGATATCTGTGTTCTTTCGTGTCTAAACAACATGCGTAACTTCGTGAAAAGGATTTAATGAGAGATTTATGATAACGGTCGCGTCCACGGGGCGAATGCAAATCGGTATAAATGTAAACTGATAAATACATCAGACGACTTTGCGATAATCCCATCGGACAGATGATAACTATTTCAATCAGTGAAAAATTAACATCGTGATTTTTCTCAAACTTTTGTTTTCGCCATGCGGAGCGACTCCGTATAATGACACTGATGAATAGCACGGGCGATTCTAAGTGTATGACCCTTCAGATGCAAGCAAGGTGGAGTTGAAATAAGATAAATGATGGTTGTTCTAACACATAGAGATATTTTATATTATAAATTATATGTTAAAGAGTCTTTTTGATGGAAAAAATGTTGCTAATTTTTGCTACACTTTATTTCAACAAAAATTGGAGAGAGAATTTTAATTATTTAATTTAATATAATATTAACATAGTTATATTCAGTAAATTTAATCAGAATTTCAATTTAGGTTTATTTCTATATTTCAAAATAATGAAAAATAAATGCTTATATTTTGCAGCAAACGCTTTTCACGTTTGCTAAAAAGGGATAATCTTACAATGAATTCTTTGTTAGCAGCAGTGGTGTAAAAAATACGTATATTTAGAAAGTAACATACGGTATTAACGACTGATTTTATATTTCATCAGAATGAACGTAACATGGACGACGATTTATTTGTAATAAATATCTTTTTTTCGAATTGCCACGCGATTCTCAATTTAGCCGCGTCGCGTGCATTTCAAATGCGACTAGATAAATCAGAG